AAAATCTTTAAAAAAAATAAAATAAAAATAAAAATTGCATGTCATTTGGAACTTTCTCAATGACACTAAAAACACATACCACAAAAGAATCAGATTTTTATGGGGGCTGTTCCAAGTTTCGATTTATTCATTCAGCAATATAAGGAGAATCACCTATGTATGCATTAGGCATTTAACTAGGTGCCGGGGATTCAGTGGTGGGCAAAACAGACATGATCCCTATTCACAGCAAATGCAGGTTAATGGTGAGATATAATTATTAATTTCATTAACTTAGCATGTACAGACGTTAGCCATCCACCATTCGATAGACATTTATTGAGCATCTATAATGAGCAAGGCCTTCTATCACCCTACATTGATGGGCACTAAACTAGTCGTCCCGAACTCTCGGGTCTTTGACCTTATCGTTGATCTAATTGCCCAATATTCCTTTAATACGGCCAAAGAATGCGGCATTTTACGTAGTATGTCAAAAATGAACGCCGTATTTATTTCAACAAGTCGGTAAAGTTTGCAATGACCCCGTACTGCATACTAGCATCACCCTGGAGTGGCCCAAACCCCACCGCGGCGAGGATCCCAGTGAGACGGGCGGGGAGGCGGGGTGGGTGCTCAGGAGCCAGCGGGTTCCAACCCCGGACCTCCCACGCCCACCCCGGCATCAAAGGGAACTTGTGGGTGGCCCGGCCGAGAGGGGATGGGCCATGTGGGTGGCCACCCCATAAAACCCACAACTCCATGCCCCTCCTGAAACACACCCACATGGACTAACGCCCCGCCCTCGCTTCACCCACAACCTCGCCCAGCCAGAAATTCCAGTCTCTCTCCCCAAAATGCTCGCGCACCCGGCCCGCCAGCCCCATCCCTTTCCCCGCCCCGCAGCCTTCTGCCCGCCCTCCTCCGGCCAGTGGCGCCCCCACGGCCAGTCGGCGTCCTCCGGCCCCTTCGCTCGGCCTCACTCCCCTCCCGCCCCGCCGCCGGGCCCGGAGGGCGCCCGGGTCCCTCACCGCCTCCTCCAGGTCCATGACGACGTCGCCGCCGTCGCCGCCGCCGCCGCCGGGCCCGTTACCCGGGCGGCGAGGGCAGCTTCCGGGAGCGCCGGAGGAGCCGGCCGGGCGGAAACGGAGACCGCGGCTTTGGATTCCGGGCGCCTGGGGCCGCGGGTTCGTCTCCGCTCGCTCCGGGAGGGAAGCTCCGCACCCCCTGCAGCCCCCTCCCAGACTTCATTCCTTCCCCAGTCGAGGTAACCGGAGCCGACCTCGGGAAGAAACTGGGCGCGCCTACTGCTGCGCTGATTCGGTCCGGCTCGGCTCGCTGCGGGACCGTCTTCCCCCTGCAAGCTGCCAGGGAGGCGGGGGCGGCCCCCCTCCCCAGCGGGGACGCGACCGCCCCCCGGGTCCACTCCAGTCTGGCTTTTACTGGCACGGCAGAGGCTTGGGGTTCTGGAGGAAAGAACACGGTTGTTGAGGTAGAGCTGGGTGCATTCTGCTCCCTGTGCCTCAGTTTCCTCCTCTGTAAGAATCGGATACTACTAGTATTAGGTGAGGATTTTACTTGGAAGCTATTGGGTGAGTTACACGATCTGACTTATGTTTGGCAGACCAGTCTGACCCTTGTGGGGAGAAGAGACTGAGCGGGGCGAGGGCAGGAGACGAGTCAGGAGACTAGTAAAATAATCCAGACAAGATCCAGTGGTAGCTTGAACCAGGTAAAAGCACTAGAGACAGTGAGAAATACAGAGGTTCTAGAAATACACATTGTGAACGTAGGGCCATAAGGGTAACTTGATGGACAGGAAGTGGGCGGTAGGAGAAAGAAAAGAGTCAAGGGTGACTTCCAAGATTTTTGACCCGAGCTCTGGAAGAGTGAAGTTATCACTGAGTAGGGGCGGGCTGTGGGTGGAACAGTTTGGGAGTCGGGTAGAGGAGGAACCAAGAGTTCGATTTTGGACCTGTTAGAGATGCTGGTAAGACCTCCAGGTAGGATGAGAAGACAATTTGATACTGGAGTCTAGCGTTCTCAGGTGAATTCTGGACTGGAGATAACACACTTGGGAGTTCTCTCTGTCTGGATGGTATTTAAAGTCATGGACTAGATGAGAATAGAGAACGACTGGCTCTCTATTCACTTACTCCTTATTTACTTGTCAATTCATTTATTTCACAAAGTTATTAAACACCCACTGTATGCCAAGCACTGTGCCAGCAGTTGGGAAATGAGAGATAAAGAGTCCCAGCCTTCAAGAGACCCGCCCCCCCTCCAGTCCAGTGGAGCAGTCAGTCTCATTATTTTATCATGGCACTAGACAAATGTTCTGTCCATTTGTGTCGCCCATGTCATTTGCCAGCCTTGGCTCTGTACAACTTCAGACTCTTACTGAAAAACCTTCCCTATCTTTACAGCATTAAGGATTGTCCTAAGAAAAGCTTGATCATAAGCCTTTTATTTTCTAGATCAGCCCTGATTGCAGATGTTGAAATATTAGAACAGGAAGGGGCGGTACTGAATGCGCAACTGAAGAGTTAATGTACTGAACTAAAATACGAGATCAGGAAAGTTTGTCTTTGTCTTTTTGTTTCTTGCTATATATCCAGGGCCTGGAACAGTTCTTAGCTCACAGGATGTGATCAATAAATATTTGCTGAATAGATGAATGACTTTGTAAGATTTTCATGTATATGCAAAATAGTTGAAACAGTTGACGGACCTTGATTTGAGACTTTGGACGTGTGGTTACGTAGAAATGAGTCACAGATTTTTCCAGCCATTCTTTCACAGAAAATTGAGTGTTTTGAGCAAAGTCAGCCCTTTGGAAGAAAATGTTTTCTTAGACTATAAGACTTCTCTGTTAAAACCCTTAGAGGAGGGTTTAATATGCAGGTCTTAAAACTCTGGCTCAGGTGCCATTTTTGCTTATCAGATTGGCACAGATTTTTTTTTGTCTGATGGAAATGATCAGTGGCGGAAGTGCTCAGTGAGCTGGATTCTGCCTTATGCTGAAGGTGAGCTTGAACGTGGGTATATTTCTTTCTTTCTTTCTTTCTTTTAAATTTTATTTATCCATTTGAGAGAGAGAGAGAGCATGAGCGGGGGAGGGCAGAGGGAGAGGGAGAAGCAGACCCCCCCACTGAGCAGGGGGCTCCAGGATCCGGAGATCACGACCTGAGTCAAAAGCAGACGCTTAACCATCTGAGCCACCCAGGCGCCCTGTGGGTAAATTTCTGGAAAACAGTTGAGCTACATAGAGATGGTATGGTGGAGCAACATTGAGGTAACCCCAAGAAGAGGAAACAGGGAAATAAAATTAGAACAGAGATAATAAACCTTTAAAGGGATTGAGGAGTCTGGGCCAATATTTTATTGAACACCTTAATTGAACGTATTAACATATCTAAAGAAAGAATGTGTACATCAGAAAGAGATATGTTTAGCTCTTCTAGCCTAATAAGGGTGGACTTAAATCCTAGCAAGGACCCCAGCTCTGCTGTTACGCACAAGCAGCTACTATACCCAAGTTTCCAAGTAAGTGACAGACACAGAAGTCAACACTAACCATTGCTCAATTCTGTAATAGAGCCAGTAACTCTAGGCCAATAAATTTGAAATTTTGATGAGATGGACAAATTCCTAGAAAAATACAAGTTACTGAAAGGTATATAGAAGAAATAGAAAATCTGAACAATTCTATATTTATTTAAGAAATAGATTCTATGTATAAAAAAACCTCACTAAGAAAACCCCAATTTCATGAGTTAAAGATGGTAAATTCTACCAAATGTTTGGGAAAGAAATAGTACACATCGTACACATTCTTTTTTTTTTTTTTTAAGATTTTATTTATTTTTGACAGAGACAGCAAGAGAGGGAACACAAGCAGGGGGACTGGGGGAGGGAGAAGCAGGCTTCCTGCTGAGCAGGGAGCCCAATGTGGGGCTTGATCCCAGGACCCTGGGATCATGACCTGAGCTGAAGGCAGACACCCAGTGACTGAGCCACCCAGGGGCCCCTGTACACAGACTTCTAAATAATGGGAAAAGTGAGTGCATTTACCAGCACATCTTACGAGGCTAGCATAACCTTGACATCAAATCATGGCAAGGATATTTGAAGAAAAGTAAAAATTAAAGTCCGTTCTGTCTCAGAAAGAGATGTAAAAATTCCAAACAAAATATCAGCAAATTGAATGCAAGTCCTTTGTTATATTGAGCAATATATATAAATAGGTTAATAAATCAAAACCAAGTTGGGTTTATTCTAGAAATGTAAAGTTGGTTTAACGTTAGAAAATATATAAGTCAAACAGTAGTGCAAGAATGGACCAAAAGATCAATGGAACAGAATAGAAAGTCCAAAAACTGAGCCAAAAACATGTAAGATAAACTGATTTACAACAAAGGTGCTACTAAAATTCAGTGGGGAAAGTATAGTGTTTCAATAAATGATTCTGCATCAGTTGGACATCCATATGAAAAAATATTGACCCCTACATCACACCATATACAAAAATTAATTTGAAATGGATCACAATCCCACATATAGTAAGTAAAGCCATAGAGCTTCTAGGAAAAAAAAATCAGAAAATATCTTTCTGACTTGAGATGGGACAGATTTCCCGAAAAGCACAATCCTAAAAGCACTATTCGTGAAAGAAAAGATTGTTACATTGGACTTCATTAAAATTAAGAACTTTACTTCATCAGAATTGTTAAGGCAACCCAAAGACTGAGAAAAGGTATTTACAAGATATTTATATCCACTACAAATCAATAAAAAAAAAATTAAAAAGTAAGCAAAAGACTTTAACAACTATTTCACAAAAGAGGATAGTTAAAAGATTAATGAATACATGAAAAGCTGCTCAACATCATGACTCAATAGAAAAATGCAAATTAAACCCACAATGAGATGCTACAACACATCCACTGGGATGGCTAAAGTTAAAGAGACGATATCGAGGTTTGGCAAAAACATGGATACACTCAGTGTCTTCTACATTGCTGATGGGAGTGAAAATTGGCAGAAATATTTTGGAAAATTGGAAGTAATGCTAACTGTAGGCTAATTATGACTCAGCAATTCTACCCTTAGATATATACCCAAGAGAAATTAGTACATATGTTCACCAAAAGATATGTACAAGTATTTTCATTAAACTTTCTTTATAACAGCCCCAAATTACAACCAACCAAATGTCCATCAATGGGAAAATCAATAGCAAGTTGTGATAGTCATACCATGGAATCCTATACAGTAATGAGAAAGAATGAATACCTGATATAGGCAACAACATAGATGAATCTCACAAAATCATGACGTGCAAAAGAAGCCTGTGGTGGATTTAAAGTAGACTTACGTTCTTTGCCACTCTTCCCGTTGAAAGATGTGATCCATCTCCCTGCCCCTTGCATCGCCATGGTCTTGTGGCCAGCTTTCAGCAGCAGAATTCTGAGTCAATGGTGTTATATAACTTCTAAGCAGTGTCTTTGCAGCTTTTGCTTTTCCTCAGATGTGCTGTCCTGAAAGCCAGCGGCAAGAAGTCCAACTTCCCTGAGACAGCCATGCTGCGAGGAAGCCCAAGCATGCCACGTCTACTAATGAGGCAACGCAGAGGACTGAGGTGTCAGACACGTGAGTGAAGCCTTCTTGGATCTCCCAGCCTAGCCCGGTCACTAGCTACATGCAGCCCTCTCCCCATGCCAGGTAGAACAGAAAACCACCCAGCCAAGTCCTGCCCAAATTCATGACTGACAGAATTCCAAGTCAACAAAATGGTTATTGTTTCTAAGCCACACTAAATTCTGATATACTTTGTTATTATAATAGTAGTTTGTTACAAAGTAATAGGTAAGCCACAGAAATTGGTTATCGGAGTAGAATGTTATGTAACAAAACCCTAAAATACGTCCCCAGAGCTAATCCTATCCAAATGCCTCTTCCTTTAGACAGTAAACTTTCAGAAAAGAATTTTGAACATATATCCTATTATACAGATACATATTTTTGTATAAATTATACACATGCAGGA